AGCAGCTGTGATGTCACAGATCATCAGGTACTGTTAGCGTAGCTACGTACGTGAACTCCTCCCTCATGGTGAACTTGTGGCCCAGTTTGGTTCTGATGGTGACAAACGGCAGCTCGCCTCCGTCCGACGTCCCCAGACCAAAGTCGTCCTCCAGCTCAGACAGGAAGTCCTTCTTATTGGCTACTGAGAAGGTCAGGCCTGCCGTCTTATACTGGGACGCCACCTTCATGACCCTGAAACACAGGGGGAGGGGCTTAGACACCCCCGTCCTCAGGAAGAGGAGGTCGTTCTGCGCACGTGTGTGAGCGTGCACGTCGCTGTCACCTGTTCCTCCAATAGTTGGACACTTTCACGTTGTGACGGTAGTCCAGGTCGTAAAAGGCCGTCAGCAGGTCTCGGACCCTCAGGCGGTCCTTGTTCTCGAGGGTCATGTGGGGACACAAGCCGTGTCTGTGGAGAACAGGGGGCGGAGTCAGTGAGGTCACAGTGTGAGGTCACCTCCAGTGAAGGAGAAGCTCTTACATGTGATCTCTGATGAAGCGCCGCAGTGAGTTGATGGTGAGGTAGTCTGTGAAGACCACCACGCTGTCCTCAAACCTGCTGCTGAGTCTGGGAGGACGGAAGAGCAACACACCCCTGCAGGGAGAGAGGCCACACCCTGACCACTGAGCCACCGCGCTGCCCCCTACAGACCAGATGATCAGTGGTACTCACTCAGCCTGGATGCCGTGCTCCTCCCCCAGGTGGCGCTCTGTGGTGTGAGCGAACCTGAACTGGTCTCGGAGTAGAGCAGCAGCTTTCAGGAACTCCAAGAGACCAGAACTCTCCTCACCTGAAAACACGCCTGAGACACAGAGCAGAGGGCGGAGCCGTGTCTAGTGACATCATCGACATCAGACAGAACGCTCGTGTCACACGTGACGGCGGCGAAAACATTTCATACCCACGACACTGGCGTCGTAGTGGTTGACAAAGTTCTGCAGATCTTCAGGAGTCTGGAGCTGGACTGAGTCTGGACCGGTCTGCTTCTTCATGTACTGACTGATACCATCTGCACACACACACACACACACACACACACACATCAGACACTTCCTGTCATGTCACTTCAGAGTGTGATGGTAGAGTTGTTGACAACCTGTGGTCCGAGGACCGTCGTAGAGTCCGGAGTCTCTGCCGTTCCTGAAAATCTTCAGAGTGGGAAAACCTGTGATTCCAAAACGACTGCAGGTCTCCGTCTGGGACGTACAGTCCACCTGGGACACGGAGGGGACAGAGACATGGGACACAGACGCCAAGAAAACTCCCAATGACAGAAAAGCCGCTGATGATGTCATCACCTTGGCAAACCTGACAGTCCCCTTCAGTCGACTCGCTGCTTTCTCAAACTCTGGAGACAGTTTTTTACAGTGTCCACACCTGAGACGAGGAGGACGGAGGACAGAGGACACATCAACGCCAGGAAACAAGAGGACAAAGGGACGAGAAGAAAATCAGAAGTTAGGAGACAACGAGGAGGAAACAGGCAGAAACCAGTCAGTCAGACAAACGAGATGAAGAAGAAGAAGAGTTGGGAAAAAATCATAAGAAAATAAGACGGTGGGAGGAACGGAGAAAAGACAGGAGGAGAGGAGGAGAAAACAGGAGAGAACAGGAGAAAACAGGAGAGAACAGGAGAGAACAGGTGATGAGGAGGAGACACGGACACGGACTCCTTCATTAAACCGTTCACTGTCAGCATCGCCTGACCCCGCCCTCCTGACCCCTCAGCCGATTGCTTCAGCAGCTGTGATGTCACAGATCATCAGGTACTGTTAGCGTAGCTACGTACGTGAACTCCTCCCTCATGGTGAACTTGTGGCCCAGTTTGGTTCTGATGGTGACAAACGGCAGCTCGCCTCCGTCCGACGTCCCCAGACCAAAGTCGTCCTCCAGCTCAGACAGGAAGTCCTTCTTATTGGCTACTGAGAAGGTCAGGCCTGCCGTCTTATACTGGGACGCCACCTTCATGACCCTGAAACACAGGGGGAGGGGCTTAGACACCCCCGTCCTCAGGAAGAGGAGGTCGTTCTGCGCACGTGTGTGAGCGTGCACGTCGCTGTCACCTGTTCCTCCAATAGTTGGACACTTTCACGTTGTGACGGTAGTCCAGGTCGTAAAAGGCCGTCAGCAGGTCTCGGACCCTCAGGCGGTCCTTGTTCTCGAGGGTCATGTGGGGACACAAGCCGTGTCTGTGGAGAACAGGGGGCGGAGTCAGTGAGGTCACAGTGTGAGGTCACCTCCAGTGAAGGAGAAGCTCTTACATGTGATCTCTGATGAAGCGCCGCAGTGAGTTGATGGTGAGGTAGTCTGTGAAGACCACCACGCTGTCCTCAAACCTGCTGCTGAGTCTGGGAGGACGGAAGAGCAACACACCCCTGCAGGGAGAGAGGCCACACCCTGACCACTGAGCCACCGCGCTGCCCCCTACAGACCAGATGATCAGTGGTACTCACTCAGCCTGGATGCCGTGCTCCTCCCCCAGGTGGCGCTCTGTGGTGTGAGCGAACCTGAACTGGTCTCGGAGTAGAGCAGCAGCTTTCAGGAACTCCAAGAGACCAGAACTCTCCTCACCTGAAAACACGCCTGAGACACAGAGCAGAGGGCGGAGCCGTGTCTAGTGACATCATCGACATCAGACAGAACGCTCGTGTCACACGTGACGGCGGCGAAAACATTTCATACCCACGACACTGGCGTCGTAGTGGTTGACAAAGTTCTGCAGATCTTCAGGAGTCTGGAGCTGGACTGAGTCTGGACCGGTCTGCTTCTTCATGTACTGACTGATACCATCTGCACACACACACACACACACACACATCAGACACTTCCTGTCATGTCACTTCAGAGTGTGATGGTAGAGTTGTTGACAACCTGTGGTCCGAGGACCGTCGTAGAGTCCGGAGTCTCTGCCGTTCCTGAAAATCTTCAGAGTGGGAAAACCTGTGATTCCAAAACGACTGCAGGTCTCCGTCTGGGACGTACAGTCCACCTGGGACACGGAGGGGACAGAGACATGTGACACAGACGCCGAGGAAACTCCCAATGACAGAGAAGCCGCTGATGATGTCATCACCTTGGCAAACCTGACAGTCCCCTTCAGTCGACTCGCTGCTTTCTCAAACTCTGGAGACAGTTTTTTACAGTGTCCACACCTGAGACGAGGAGGACGGAGGACAGAGGACACATCAACGCCAGGAAACAAGAGGACAAAGGGACGAGAAGAAAATCAGAAGTTAGGAGACAACGAGGAGGAAACAGGCAGAAACCAGTCAGTCAGACAAACGAGATGAAGAAGAAGAAGAGTTGGGAAAAAATCATAAGAAAATAAGACGGTGGCAGGAACGGAGAAAAGACAGGAGGAGAGGAGGAGAAAACAGGAGAAAACAGGAGAGAACAGGTGATGAGGAGGAGACACGGACTCCTTCATTAAACCGTTCACTGTATTATTGTCGGTCTGATTAAACTGCGGTTCCGGTTCTGGTACCCTGGAGCGTAGAACTTGACCAGCATGGTTTGATGCTCCGGTGCTAGATAGTCCCAGTCCGCGTCCCCGAGCTCCAGCACGTCCCCGCGACTCCAAACCACGGCGGGAAAAACGGAGAAGAGAAAGACAGCGGGAAGGAGGTGGACAGAAGCCGCCATGTTGGACGGAAAACGACTGTCAACGTCCGAAGAGAAATCAACGATAAAACAACACCGACGGGAGGATCGTCCGCTGATCAATCATTGAGGCAGAAAAGCGGTGGTTTGCGAGGTTCCGGTATGGATTTTCAAAATAAAACAAAGGTTCGTAAAATAGTCGTCTTTTACTTATTATCTTTTAAGTTTTATATAGTACAATAAACCGACACTGTCGTGGCTCCTTTGTTCAGCTCCTGTGTCGTATTATTAATTATCCACCCTCGTTTGTAAAGTGTACTTTTTCTTTTATTCTATAATAAACTAACGTAAGTCTGCACTTCCGCACCGACCTCGTAAACCACTGCAAACTTAACGAAGCGCCGTTCTCTCCACCTGTCAGTGAGGACTCTGGTCCAGGATCGAGCACGTCACCGGCACCCTCTTGTCTGATTGGCCAATGGACGGTGGCAGGTATTGTGACGTGAACGTTTTTTGTTTTTCTCTCGGATCGATCGACCACAGCCATCGGAACAATTCACTGGGAGTTAGAGCTAATACGAGTCGGTTTGACTTGAATCGTTGAATGGTTATAGATTAACGACAACACATTTACTCTAATGTGATGTTCTCTGTTTGAAACATCACATGTCAAGAGGCAGAAACCAGAGCCTGTGATATCAATAAAAACAATGGATATTGTGGGTTTTATTTGTAGTACCCCACACGTCCACAAGTCTGTCGCGAGGAAATCCTTGATTTTAACTCACGTAGACACAGAAGCAGTTGGTCCACTGCTGCCTCGTGTGGTAACCTGGTGTCACTGAGATGTACATGAAAAAAAAAAAAAGGATTTCAAACAGTGAAGTCACAAAATAATACATTTAAACTTAGTGATGGAGGTAATCTGGGAGAAATAAAATCTCTGGTTCTGACCAACCGACCGACCAACTGATCAATCGACCGACCAACTGACCGATCGATCGATTGATCGACTGATCAATCGATCGACCAACTGACCGATCGATCGACTGTAAATATAAATAAATAAATGAATGACATTAATGAGGACAAACTTCATTTTATTAAAAGACTGAAACGTCTTCAAAGATTCAAGCTCTTCTGCCTGATCGTCTTCGTCCATTACATTCTGAGTCAATACTGATGCATTCTGGGAAATGTTTTTGTCGCAGTAAAAAAATAATTTCATCGTTACCGTTGCTCCCCCGAAGACTCCGCCCAAGGTCAGAGGTGACAATAAATAAAATAACAACACAGGAGCTTCAACGTCAGCCTTCAAACGACTGTCAACGTCCGAAGAGAAATCAACGATAAAACAACACCGACGGGAGGATCGTCCGCTGATCAATCATTGAGGCAGAAAAGCGGTGGTTTGCGAGGTTCCGGTATGGATTTTCAAAATAAAACAAAGGTTCGTAAAATAGTCGTCTTTTACTTATTATCTTTTAAGTTTTATATAGTACAATAAACCGACACTGTCGTGGCTCCTTTGTTCAGCTCCTGTGTCGTATTATTAATTATCCACCCTCGTTTGTAAAGTGTACTTTTTCTTTTATTCTATAATAAACTAACGTAAGTCTGCACTTCCGCACCGACCTCGTAAACCACTGCAAACTTAACGAAGCGCCGTTCTCTCCACCTGTCAGTGAGGACTCTGGTCCAGGATCGAGCACGTCACCGGCACCCTCTTGTCTGATTGGCCAATGGACGGTGGCAGGTATTGTGACGTGAACGTTTTTTGTTTTTCTCTCGGATCGATCGACCACAGCCATCGGAACAATTCACTGGGAGTTAGAGCTAATACGAGTCGGTTTGACTTGAATCGTTGAATGGTTATAGATTAACGACAACACATTTACTCTAATGTGATGTTCTCTGTTTGAAACATCACATGTCAAGAGGCAGAAACCAGAGCCTGTGATATCAATAAAAACAATGGATATTGTGGGTTTTATTTGTAGTACCCCACACGTCCACAAGTCTGTCGCGAGGAAATCCTTGATTTTAACTCACGTAGACACAGAAGCAGTTGGTCCACTGCTGCCTCGTGTGGTAACCTGGTGTCACTGAGATGTACATGAAAAAAAAAAAAAGGATTTCAAACAGTGAAGTCACAAAATAATACATTTAAACTTAGTGATGGAGGTAATCTGGGAGAAATAAAATCTCTGGTTCTGACCAACCGACCGACCAACTGATCAATCGACCGACCAACTGACCGATCGATCGATTGATCGACTGATCAATCGATCGACCAACTGACCGATCGATCGACTGTAAATATAAATAAATAAATGAATGACATTAATGAGGACAAACTTCATTTTATTAAAAGACTGAAACGTCTTCAAAGATTCAAGCTCTTCTGCCTGATCGTCTTCGTCCATTACATTCTGAGTCAATACTGATGCATTCTGGGAAATGTTTTTGTCGCAGTAAAAAAATAATTTCATCGTTACCGTTGCTCCCCCGAAGACTCCGCCCAAGGTCAGAGGTGACAATAAATAAAATAACAACACAGGAGCTTCAACGTCAGCCTTCACCCAGAACCTCCTGGACCCAGAACCTCCAGACCCAGAACCTCCAGACCCAGAACCTCCAGACCCAGAACCTCCAGACCCAGAACCTCCAGACCCAGGTCCAAACTGCTTAAATCCTGAACTCTATTTAAGAACAGTCTCATCTCTGATTGGTGCAGCATTTAGTCTGGAGCTGCGTCCTTTCTGCTGATTGGCCGTCCGTTTGAGGAACAGGAAGTAGACTTCTGGAAAAGACTCATCAGATCACGGAAACGCCGGCACACCTGGAGGACGGATAAAAGTCACAAACATCTCCACGCTTCCATGAGTCCATGAGTCTAAACCTAAGCCCCGCCCCCTCACCTGGTGGGCGCTCCTGTTAGCCAGGAGGGCGGAGACCCGTGTGAAGGTCTTCTGATTGGCTCCAGTCTGCTGACAGGCTTTCAGAATGACCCGGTCCTCTTCTCTGCAACAGGAAACCACGAGGCGTCAGAGGGTAAGCTACTCAGATTAGCTAACAATAACGTCATTAAGAATATGCTAACACTTAGCTAAGCTAACACTGCCTCTTGACATTCACATGTGCTTCTGCAGTGGCACCCCCTGCTGGAGAGTATTTTTTCTGACCGTGTCCAGGTGAGGACTTCCTCCTCCTCTTCCTCTGCTTCACTTCCAGTATCATTCGCTTCACAGGTCTGACACTCCAGACTCCCGCGTGGAGGATTGTGGGTAACGGAGGGGAGGGTGTCGGTGGCGTGGAGCTGCTGGAACAGCTGCTGAAGCTCCGGGTGAGGCTGCAGCAGAGAGGAGATCTGGAACCAGACAGGATCAGGCTGAAGACACTGGGCTCAGCACCTCTGACACAGCTTTGACCCACGGCGCCCCCTACCTTATCCATGTCAGCAGGAGGAAGGGTGGGGCTTCTCTGCAGCGTCGACACCACCTGCTGGTGGAGGGCGGAATGTTCACCCAGCCTCTGACTGAGTCGACGCAGGAACCGTCGGCTGCGCTCAAACATCTGCTGCTCCGTCAGCTGAGACAGGAAGAAGAACGGCCGTTACACAGGCCCCGCCCACTCCTGTGGTGATGTCACGGGGACCTCACTCACCAGCCCACAGCGCTGCGCCTGCTCCTGGTTCAGGAAGGCCGCGAAGTCTTTAAGCAGCTGAGGCCACGGTCGTAGTAAAACGCTGAGTCTGTGGTACAGAAGCTCCGCCTCCTGAGGAAGCTGATTGGTGGAGAAGTGATCCAGAACCTGCAGCAGCTGATCCAGGACGCCAGGACAATCCTGCACCGCCTCACACACCTGAGAGTACAGGAAGTGACATCATCACATCTCTGAACCAATCAGGAACTCTGACGATGACAAACCCTTTAAACTTTTCTTACTCTTTTCAGATAATCCTGAGCAAACGCCTCGGACTCAGACTGACCGTCATCATCCTCACAACCTCCTGACCACAGAGTTTCCTGCCAATGACCAAAAGTTACAGTTTGAAGAAATAAAACCACAGCACAGAACTCCATCAGAGACTTCAGTTCACAGTCTCAGCAGCTAGTCGTTTGACAAAATGGCGGACCTTCTGGACAGATTCTCTGACTCCTCCTTCCTCCTCACTCTCAGACTCAGTGATGTCATCATCATGGCCGACACTTCCTGCAGAACTGGAGGATGACTCAGACAGAGCCAGGAGAACTTCACTCTCTTCCTCTTCCTCTGATTTCCTACTTCCTCCTTTCTCCTCCTCCTCCTCCTCCTCCTCCTCTTCAGCAGCTGCAGGTGGAGGAGTCGGCACCTCCTCATTACGTCTGACTCCTCCGCCTACGATCAGCTTCAGATCCCGTTTGCTCCTCCTCAGTCCCGTGAGTGTTCGATGATGAGCAAGGATTTTCTCAGAGGTTGCCATGGAAAAAGTGGAGGTTATGATGATGTCATTTCCTGACCCCGGGGAGGCGGGGTCAGAGGAAGCAGGTGGGAGGGGCTCCGGCAGGACAACGAAGCCCACGCGTCTGAAGTGCAGGTGTTTGGGGAGGCGCGGAGGGTACCTGGTACCTGGGGGGAAGCTGTAGTGACTGTGAGGATGGTCGGGGGGCGTGGCCGCGGCCGCGGGGGCGGGGCCAGGAGCAGCATTGAACCGCTGAATGGTGGGACAGATGACGGGGAGACTCCGCTGAGCCAGAGGAGAGAGAGACGGAGAATCAGAACACAGGACACACCCACAGGAGCGTGGTCACTCCATATATGGACAACAACCAAGTGTCAGTCACTGACCACCAGCCACAGGGGCATGACCTTCTCCTCCCTCTCCACTGGAGGGCGTTGATCTGCAGGATCCACAGGACGACAGGCTAACGGCATCTGCCACAACACACGTCGGTACCTGAAGGCCTGCGCACACACGCACACACACACACACACACACACACACACACACACACGGATGTCAGAGTTTTGTGAAAATATTTTAAGATTAGATTAGATTATAGAGTTAGAGATTAGATTAGATTATAGGGTTAGAGATTAGATTAGATTATAGAGTTAGAGATTAGATTAGATTATAGAGTTAGAGATTAGATTAGATTATAGAGTTAGAGATTAGATTAGATTATAGAGTTAGAGATTAGATTAGATTATAGAGTTAGAGATTAGATTAGATTATAGAGTTAGAGATTAGATTAGATTATAGAGTTAGAGATTAGATTAGATTATAGAGTTAGAGATTAGATTAGATTATAGAGTTAGAGATTAGATTAGATTATAGAGTTAGAGATTAGATTAGATTATAGAGTTAGAGATTAGATTAGATTATAGAGTTAGAGATTAGATTA